TTTACACTGCATTCCATCAGGAGAAAAGAAGAATTTCGAAAAAGGGAGGGCATACTTTGGGGACGTATAGGTACAAAATATGGAAAATTTCGTTTAATGTAAAAGACTTTAGATCTAATGGAAATATAAATTCAGTTTGGTAGACAAAAAGAAATGTTGTAGAAGTTTGGAAAATTTAAGCAAAATGTGATCGAAATACATGGGAATTGAGGAGGAAAAAAATGGGAACTTTGGGAGGTAAATAACTTGGAGACCCGAGGAAATTAGGGCGAAGTCAGAAATAAAAGGTAGTTTTCAGCAAATGGTCCCTTCATATAGAAAATGACAACTTTTAAGATAAGGCAAAAATCAGTGAGGACTTTAGACGAAATCTTAAAGAGAGTATAAAAATATATAGGGACGTAGACGTAAATTTTAGGGGACAAAACAATTCTCGAAATACATAAGGAATTTGGTCGAAACAGACGGACATGCTTATTCCTAGGAAACACTAGGATATTCTAAAGAACTAAGATGGGAAAGTTTTGGAAATTAGAAGAGAACTGTTAAGGAAATTATGATGATTACGTCGCATATACATTAGGTAAATTTTTCTAGAGAAATGATTGCACATTTTGAGAAAATCCTAAGGAATTCTGAGGAAATGTGGAAGAAAATTTGGAATACAGGAAGTCAGCTTTTAAGAAAGTACTTATTTTACGTATGTCGTACAGTAAGGTAATGCAAGAAGTGTTTGTGGAATTAGACAAGGTTCCGTGTAAAATACATTTATTTTGTTTAAAAATTAGAAAAATTTTCCGTCAGTTGGTTAATAATTTTGGGGAAATACAAAGCAAGTTCAAGTTCTAATGAAATACCAATACCTATTTTAGATGGAAATTGGCGAAATCTAGGTTAAGAAATCTTTGCCGAGGAACTTCTGGCGAAATAGAGGGGAAATCTGTATACATAATTCTGGGAATATAAAAACGAGAACTATAAGGGTAAAGGGTACCTACATTTTGTGTTATCAGGAAATTTTCATTAAATGGAAGGAAATTCTAGAGAAAGAGAACATTTTCAGGAAATATTGATTACCTACTTCGTCTAAAATTGGAAATGCTTTAGTCAATACAAGAAGTTTGGCGAAAATTAGTTGTAAATTCATGGGGATACAAGAGTAGCAAATTGATTCCAGCGAAAGCAAAAGAGTATTGACGTCAAAGGTGAAATAAGGCCATAAGTACATTTGTTTGCATTGTTAACAGAAACATTTTAGCAGTATTCGTATTTTTGAGTAACAACAGATGATTTTCGATATTTTAGGTTCCAGGAATGATCTAATTTCATTTAACAAGACTAGCAAAATGCATAAAGGGTTTCATTGTTATAAATATAATTGCCTACATTAGCATAGCATAATTACACACTTCCACATTGCAACTTGTCAAGTAATCGTATATCTATGAGTACATCTATCTGTATATTATATAACCCATACGACAAGAACATGGCTTGCACATGAAACTGCTTAGCTTTACTAACTCTAGGCGAAGACGTTCATCATTAGGCATAAACTCAGAAAGTTCGACAATATTTTAATAAATTTGTAAATGAGACATGGATCGAATTGCGTTTAATGTATAAAATTAAAAAAAAATGGTTTATCTGCTTACATCTTTTAATTAAAATAAGTGTAAACTTTGTATAACAATTTAACAGTGGCTTTCTTTGAATAATTATTACTCGCGACGAAGTTCCAGATAATGTACGACTTTAAATTAAAAGTTGGCAAAGTTGGAAACGAGAAGGGGTTTTTCTAATGAGCTGGATTTAACTTTTATAAGAGATTGGAAAGTAAAGTTTAAATTTCTATTTGTGTTGAAAAATAGTAGAATAGTAATAGTAACTGCAATCAGTAGCTACGTACTTAAGCTTTGAGTAAATTTAGGCCAGATTATCACTTGTTTTCTGTTCTGATAGACAACGCAACCCAAACCAAGCTTAACTGATTCTGGTTGGTTTAATCTATACAACGATATGACGTTCTGTGTTCTCTTACAGAAGAGATTGGGATCGGGGGAGCATAATACAATAGAATTACGGTTAATTTTAAAGATTTTTGGATTGATGTGTTCGCAATTCAGCGATGTTTGGAAACACATGTGTCTCAGAGGGATGCGTTCGAAGGCATCTTAACATCAGTAACAAACTGATGATTAGATTTTTTGGTAGGTTGCCTTAGGCAAATTTGCAGTGAGAGAGAAATTGCAATACACCAATCTAACAACACCGAAGACAGTAGACAGCCGTCTCCGTCTAAAAAAAACCGACACAGTCGCCTTTGGTTCAAAGGCATATTACATATCAATCCTTCCTATTTAAACAAACAGCACCTCTTTTAATAAATCAACATCGTTATTCCTAACGATACTCGAAATTCCATCTACGTCGCCAGTACTGATAACCACCTGCGTTGCTTATCTCGCACGTGGTTCGCAAAACCAATTAATGTTTCTCCGATAATAAACTTTTTGCTAACACCCGACTAGTTAAAAACTGTCAACATTACGATTAAATATTCCCTTATTTATGCGTTTCAAATTTATCATACAAACTATAAAATTCTAAATTCTAAAGATCCTAAAATTTCTTCAAAAACTTAAAACATTGTTGTGGTTCTCAGTTTTTCGAACAATTCCAAAACTACTCAGATTATGACAATTCTCAAGAATTCAAACTTTTTTAGGCAATTTTTAAGAGCCGCAAACCTTTTATGTTTTAGGATCCCAATTTTTAAAGTTCCCAAGACTTCTTAGGATTCCTCGGGTGGGGGATTTTAGTTTATTTGGTCTTTATGAGACTTTTTGAAAAAGTCAACATAGTCACAGGTACAGGGTGAAGAAAAGCAGTCAAACGTCTAAAATTTCATTCATTCTCTCAGCACGCTCTCATCTTAGGATTTCGGAAGAAATTGGGAGGCGATGGAAAGATGTTGACGATGGAAAGGTGTTTGGTAGGTATCTAAGATGTCCATCGATCGCCTTTTACGATCTCCAGGACGGGAGTGGGCCAATTCTAACCCCGAACCCACAGGGGGATTTGATTTTATTTGGTCTTTATTTATTTGGTCTTTGTTTTGCATTGCGCGAGGTTTCAGGTTGCTCTACCAACCCAACCCACTATAAAACTTAAACCAAGTTCATCCAAATTACATATGTCCATTTAGTACGCCATTTAGAATTTATAAAATTGGAATTGACCATTCGTACTTTTTCGATCAGACTTCTCAATAAAAAGTTATAGACTAAAAACCAATTCCGAAATAAAATTCAAAGGGCTGTAACTTTTGAACTAGTAGCCCAATCTTGGAACTGTTTCAAATTATGGATTCTACAGGCCACATTCTATAAGAAAAATTTTTTTCCGGGTCGATCTGAGACAATTTTTTTTTCGCAAATCAAAAAAAGGCAGTGTATAACCTTCCTTTTTTACCAAAAATCGACTGCTCCAAAATTTCTCGGGAAAACACTTTTTATTATTAATTTTGGTGCGTAGAATCCAAATCAATTCGTACTTTTTCGATCAGACTTCTCAATCAAAAGTTATAGACGAGAAACCAATTTCGAAAGAAAATTGAAAGGACTGTAACTTTTGATCTAGTAGCCCAATCTTGGAACTGTTGGAAATTGTGGATTCTACAGGCCACATTCTATAAGAAAATGTTTTTTCCCGGTCGATCTCAGACAATTTTTTTTCCGGCCTCAAAAAAAGCAAGTATATACACTTCGTTTTTTACCAAAAATCGACTGCACCAAAATTTTTCGGGAAAACACTTTTTCTTATTAATTTTGGTGCGTAGAATCCAAAACGATTCGTACTTTTTCGATTAGACTTCTCAATCAAAAGTTATAGACTAGAAACGAATTTCGAAAGAAAATTGAAAGGGCTGTAACTTTTGATCTAGTAGCCCAATCTTGGAACTGTTTGAAATTGTGGATTCTACAGGCCACATTCTATAAGAAAATGTTTTTTCCCGGTCATTCATTTTCAATACTCATCAGGGATAAATGTTCTAATCTCAGTTGATTTTTAATTAGCCATGGGCAATAAACCTCAGTTTAATACCCACTTTAGGCTTTTTATCACTTATTAGGACTTTTTAACTTTCTAAATGGTACCTAACCTTGATCTGCAGGATTTTAGAATTTCCGATATCCCTTACTCTATGCATTAATTTTGTTTAAATCTGCATTTACTTTAAGGCGGCAGATTTTGCACTAAAATTTTTTCATTCACATAAACTTTTGGGGGCCCCTCAGGACTTCGAGGCCCTGGGCCCGGGCCCAAGTGGCCCATGCCTAAAAACGGCACTGCCTGATGTAATCTAAATTAGGCCCAAGAATTGCCAAGGAGCGTGAGTTTTAATGCACATACGCAATTTTTTTCGACTACCCCTCGACCGATTATAAAGTCTTTTACATTATGTAGGCCTTATGTAAGCGTATCTACATGTTGGTGAAGGAATATTACATTTCGTTATAACGTTTTTTATTTCAGAAAAAAGAATCCCATTCGCGTTTTTACAATATTCCAAATGATAGTGTCGACGTCTCTTCGTATAATGCAGGGTAAATTATTTAAATTTCCGTGGTTTCACAATAACTCGTATTTCCAGACGCCAGCTAAAAATAAACTTTTCTCATTTCCTTGTATGTGAAAATCCTCGCACAAATGCCGACGTAGGCTTTAGGGGATGAACTTTTTCACTACAAAATTATAAGAAATCGACGCGTTTGTCAGATACAGCGCAATTTACAAAGGTCGTATGGAAATGGACTACAATATCGTAAGTATCAGAGCGTGCACAATTTAACGCCATTGAAAAAGAGCGGACGTCCGGAATTTGGTTCCGGTACAGGGAAATAACACCGTGAACCTTAGGGAATTGTTCTACCTGTGCGTTAATGCATGATCCGTGAAATATTATTCCAACAAAATCGATTATAAGACGAATCGTGCTCGTTTTTCCCTTGGTGTGTTTTCGACAGTGCAATGATAACATTCAAACGAGTTGCTATGAGCATAATTAGAATTACTATGGCAACAGTTGATGGTTCGATAATATAATTCCATGAGCATTCTCTCTCCATTTGACATTTAGTCAGCAGGAAAATGTCCTCGGTTGGCGTAGAATGTGATAATAACGTGCCACGAAAAAAACCGGTGGTTTTCACACGAAGATCGGGTCAGAAAGTAAAAGAGCCCAAATTGAAACCACCGTCCGCCCTCGAGCGCGTCTTTGGAAAACCTAATAAACCACGGGATCGCTACTTTACGGCCGGCGTTAAAATAAACGAGAGTAATAATATAGGCATCAACGCGGAAACTTTACCGTTTTCCTACCCAAAAGATCTAGACGAATTTTCGTACAGATTAACATCGAAATCGTGGAGGCAGAGCAGAATCAAGCAAGAAAACGAGCGGAAATACAACGAGAGGCATAAGATCGACTTGCTCAATCGATTGTATGTGAAAGAGCCGGAAGTGAAAAGCATGAAAACCATCTTAGATGTCGACCCCCAATTCTACACGTTGACAGCCGGGCGCCCAGTGGGACGAAAGTTCAACCGAAGGGATTACATTGAAGATATTAACAACGTACTCCGTACCAAAATTGCAATCGGCTATCGCGAAGACGACATCATGGTGGTCGACGAAAACCACGCGAGCGAGAAGAAAATACTCAACGAAGTCTCGCGGGAATTTCAAAAATACCTCAACACTTTCGAGGAGTTTCTATTTAACGACCACTCGGCTTCCATGGACCTATTGAAGGAATCCGAACAAATCGAGTCGGAAGCATCCGAAAAGGTCGAAACGCTTCAGAAACTCACGAAAGGGTATGGCTCGCTGAAATCTACGGTCTGCAATTTGGAAGAGAAATGGCGAAATTGTAAGACGTACCAAAAATTTTTGTATTTGGTTAGTCCGATGGACTGGAGAAAGGAGCACGACTTTTATCTAACGCAAGAAACGGCGAATGACAGGCGCCCCGCGGGAGAAGTGCAGTCACTTAGTAATCTGATCAGTCAGTTCGTGGAGGACGTACAAACCCAAGAAAAACCCAGCCTTTTCTTCAGCGAACCCAATCAACTTCTCAAAGTGTTCGCTTTCATCGAATTGCAAAATCTGAATACACTCCTGCATTCGGAGGAATTAGCCGTGCCACTAGAGCAGGTCAAGGAGGCGGTGAAATATATCGAAGATTCATTCAGTACTGAAGGGGCCTCGCTCCAGGAGATAATCGACAATCTCGAACGGGAGATAATGTAAGTAACACCCATTACTTCCCAACTAACCCATTTGTCACAGATGGGAGGAGGACAGGGCGACGCGCTTGGAAGAATTGGCTTTGGAATTAATAAATGGAGATTTCAAGGAGTTAATTTCCAACGAGGAGGCTATAAATTTGTACGTCTTCGTCGAAGACGTTTACGAAGATCGGTTGGGTCTGAACGATTCCAAACTGACAATGAAGGAGATGATGAAAATAATCGAAACGGGTTATCGCGATTATTTGTTGCACCTCGATCGACTACCCGATGACCTGGTGCGCAAAGCCGAAGCAACCTGCCGAAGAAATGAGAGAAAGAAGGTGTTGCTCGCCGAAAATGCGGCGAGGAAGGTTGTTCAGGTGGAACGGCTAACGAAGCACTTGGCTCGATTGCTGGATCCGCCCAGGATTCGAACGGCGAGAAGTAAGCGTGTCGGTCGGCGATAATTGTGCTTTAGCTTTTGTTACAGGTTTGAAATCGCGTTCTCCGAGAGTTGAGGATAAAGAGAAACCGAAACCGCCTCCGCGACCAATGACGGCAGACCAAATCGATCATTTGGAGTTTTTCACTGATTCGTGCTTTCATTCTGACGATCCCAAGCTGTTTGGCGTACGGGTGCATAAAAATGATGCGCACTGATTGTTTTATTTCTATTTTTTTACCAATAAAAGTCACCGTGCGTCTATCTTTTTGTGTCCTCATAAAGCGCAAACGAATTACACGTGAATTGGGGAAATCGTTTGAACTATTTTCCGTTTCCTTCACGATATTATTGGTAATTCCCAATAAAAATTTAAAAATTATGTTGTCTTTTTAAACGATTTTTCCCTCTTTGGTGACACAGTGACTTAATCCTCTTATCAATATTGATTACTATTCAATCAAAATCAACTTTAAACACGTTTCTCTAAAGATCACGCACTGGTAGGAACCGAAACTTGAATCGTTCAAAACTTTTATCATGGACAACGAATCCCTCAAAATTTCCCTCTAAAACTAAACCTCCCTGTCCCTTACTAATTAATAAACATCTACAAAATGGCTCCTTATTAACAAACAAACAAATAATAGTCAAAGCAATAAATTAAATCCCCCACAAGACCAACATATGCTACGCTGTAGATTCTACGATACTAAACAGACCTCATGCCGAATTCCCAGTTGTAACCAAATAGTCCTAATTATGAATATGGTCCACATCCCTGACATCTCTCCAGATATCCCGAATCCATTAATAAAATAATGCCCTACCGAAATTAAACGAGGCAGAAATGACGAGCATTTGCACCACGGCATAATTATACAATACCACTAGTCAAACAATTCACTAGAAAATCGGTCCGCTACATTTCGACACCGTATAAAATTTTTATGATATATCTAAACTGCCCTACCCTTTAGAGATCTCAAAATCTTCACAACGAAATTTCAAAAAAATTTAAATGCAAATTTAGAACTACCATTACACCGTCCGTCCGTCCCTCCGTTCGAGGCCTTAAGTACTCCTACAGTTTTCAGGTTTTTTTCGATCGTTTTGCAATCGGTAGCTAATAACTCTGGCACTTCAACCAGTCTGCGCAATGTTAACTTTTTTATTTATGGAGATATTTTTTTTATATTTTAACCACAAATGCTTCTAGTACAGACCAGCAAAAATGTGAAAATCACATGCGCAAACTAGGCAATGTCAACTTTCTTATTTATGGAGATATTTCTTTGAAATTTTAACCACAGATGCTTCTAGTAAAAGACAGGCATATCGCATGCTGTAAAGATCATTCATGGAAAATGTGCTAAAGTCACTTGCCTTGAGGCGAAAACTATAGCTATAGTGGATGGACTCAATATTTTTACATGATATCCTGAAAATGCCTGGATTTGTAAGGATATGCTGAGATTCCCAATGTTCTCCATAGATCTAGTTAGGAGATGTTTTGAATACATCTTTTTTTACGAATATCAAGCTCCGATTCCTGGAAAAAATTATTGGAAAATGGGTATGGTACGGTAGTTGAATATTCGTCGTAACCATTTGGCAAAATCGCCAGATCAATATTTTACATGAAAAGCTGCGGTTTCACCCAAACGAAAAAAAAGCAAACAAATCCCATTCAAATTCAAAGCTCCGATGCTAATCGCATCGTGCATCGGAATGAATGAGCTTTAATAACTAATTCGAATCACGTTCGCATTCAAATATGCGATCGGGAAAGTGGAAGGATCATTAAATCTTTCGTTTTTCTTTTTATTGCGACGTGTGCCGCGATCGTACTTAATAATATGTCATAAACGTAGACACCTTAATTAAATTATCGGATCTATTGATTACCCGATTACAGGTGGTCATGGTTGTAGCTCTTATTGACTAACGGATATTGAAATCTGTTTATTAGCGCAATTTGTTAGCATTAACAAAGTGGGTTAGGAGGAAAGGGTTGGGCTTCAGTAATCAACGACGCGACGGTTTATTTTCATTTTGTAACAATCCTTGCCCGATGGTCAAATGGATTAGTTGCTCTTATTTCAAAGTTGCACTTATTTCGTAACTACATCTGCGAATACAGTCCCCATTAGTGCGTTTGGGGGATTTGTGTATAATGAATGAATCATAACTTGCTGAATGGGCGTGTTTTTAAAATGCAAAATAGGGTTTTTCATGAGGGTTGTGCACTTACTCCCTGAGGAGTGCAAGAAAATGTATCTTTGCTTTTGCTTAAAACCATCTAACACAGAGAGGCGTGCCTACTTATAGTAACCCTAACAGGATTTTAATTATTTGTAGTTCAAGAACAAAACAAGGGATGTTATTTATGTAATATTCAAATTTAGTGGTGTTGTTAGGGCATCAGTGAAAATGTTTTTGAACTTGGCGGTTAAATCATGGAGAAACCGAGGAAGAAACGAGTAACACTCAGTTTTCTGTTTTTGGATTAGTTCCTTTTAATTTCGAGAATCCTGAAACTCGTATATTCTCGAATTCCGGATTTCAATTTCACAGATTCAAGAAGAGAGTTTCAGAAAATATTTCAGGAAAGATTCAAGAGATTTAGAAGAGAGCCTTAATAAGGGAACTGTTTGAAATTATGGATTCTACAGGCCACATTCTATAAGAAAATTTTTTTCCGGGTCGATCTGAGACAATTTTTTTTTTCGGGGCTCAAAAAAAGGCAGTGTATAACCTTCCTTTTTTACCAAAAATCGACTACACCAAAATTTCTCGGGAAAACACTTTTCTTATTAATTTTGGTGCGTAGAATCCAAAACAATTCGTACTTTTTCGATCAGACTTCTCAATCAAAAGTTATAGACTAGAAACCAATTTCGAAAGAAAATTCAAAGGGCTCTAACTTTTGAACTAGTAGCCCAATCTTGGAACTGTTTGAAATTATGGATTCTACAGGCCACATTCTATAAGAAAATTTTTTTTTCGGGTCGATCTGAGACAATTTTTTCTTCGGGGCTCAAAAAAAGGCAGTGTATAACCTTCCTTTTTTACCAAAAATCGACTACACCAAAATTTCTCGGGAAAACACTTTTTCTTATTAATTTGGGTGCGTAGAATCCAAATCAATTCGTACTTTTTCGATCAGACTTCTCAATCAAAAGTTATAGACCAGAAACCAATTTCGAAAAAAAATTCAAAGGGCTGTAACTTTTGAACTAGTAGCCCAATCTTGGAACTGTTTGAAATTATGGATCCTACAGGCCACATTCTATAAGAAAATTTTTTTTCCGGGTCGATCTGAGACAATTTTTTTTTCGGGGCTCAAAAAAAGGCAATGTATAACCTTCCTTTTTTACCAAAAATCGACTACACCAAAATTTCTCGGGAAAACACTTTTTCTTATTAATTTTGGTGCGTAGAATCCAAAACAATTCGTACTTTTTCGATCAGATTTCTCAATCAGAAGTTATAGACTAGAAACCAATTTCGAAAGAAAATTCAAAAGGCTGTAACTTTTGAACTAGTAGCCCAATCTTGGAACTGTTTGAAATTATGGATTCTACAGGCCACATTCTATAAGAAAATTGTTTTTCCGGGACGATCTGAGACAATTTTTTTTGAGGGCCTCAAAAAAAGCAGTGTACAACCTTCCTTTTTTACCAAAAATCGACTGCACCAAAATTTCTCGGGAAAACACTTTTTCTTATTAATTTTGGTGCGTATAATCCAAAACAATTCGTACTTTTTCGATCAGACTTCTCAATAAAAAGTTATAGACTAGAAAAGAAACCAATTTCGAAAGAAAATTCAAAGGGCTGTAACTTTTGAACTAGTAGCTGCCCAATCTTGGAACTGTTTGAAATTATGGATTCTACAGGCCACATTCTATAAGAATCTGAGACAATATAGCTCTTAAGATAAAAATATAGTAGTCTTTGTTAAAATGCCGTTCGAAATACTCAAAATACCAAGAATATGTTTGAAATTCCTTTTTGTACAAAACTTTCCTTAGAAATTCCGATAATTTTTGAAAATTTCTTAATATTCAGTAAAGTCAATAAGGTACAAAAAGGAATGAAGTATTACGTCTATCCGCCCTACGGCTGTGTTGCTACAAGATTCTTATCTCAGTGGATACAATATCGGTCCCAAATCGATAGTCTAAAGAATAATAACAATTAAATATAATGAGATTGTATAATAAATTATTATATACTTACCCACAAATAAGGGGTATTTTAAATTATTCTCATAACTTTTAAAAGTTACCATACTAAAACTAAAGCCAAAATGTCAAAATTTAAGAATGGGCTAAAATTTCCGACGAAATAAAAATACATTGGCAGCTTTAAATTTCAAATTACAATTTTTAATTAGAAATTTTGAAGCATGAAGATGAAGTTATAAATGATCGTTTCAAGCCTAGATCTGTACTTTAAGATGATTTAAAATTCACAATTTTAAATTTTTAAATATGTAACGTGAAAAGTGAATTTGAAGCTAAACTCGAAAAAATATCCTAGTTCGAAGATTAGTATTTCAACTTTAAAGTCAAAAGTTTCAAAATTTGGAGACCTGAAAGTATAAATAATATTCCAAGCTACGATTATGAAGGACATTCCAGTGAAATTTAAAAGCTTGAAGTTTCGTTGAAGCAGAAGGATAGGTACTCAAATACATTTCAACTCGAGATTCTGAAATAAAGCTCCAGAGCAAGTTTTAAAGCCTTCGTAGTTCTAAACTTCAATTAGAAGATCAAACATTTTATTATTTTAGGATTGAAAGACGCGCAAAGTATTAGTCGCGATTAAGAAATAAAACGTATAAAATTGGGAGATTTTATTAGCTTATTAAATTTTCACTTGATTCCCTAAATTTTAAAATTTTGACCACGATGATTGTACAAGAAATAATTTAAAATAGGGGTTCATGAAACTGAAACCTTGATAGCCAAAATCTCAAATTTCGAATTAATAAAAATATTTTCAATTCTGAAATGAAATTTCAAACTGCAGGGAACAAGTAATTTTAAGCTTTTGCAACTGATATTGTTTGTAACTTGAAAAAAAATTTATAATTTGGGGGATCAAATGGGACACAAAAATTTTTTTCTAATTTTAATCTTAAAGTCTTAAAAGCTATAAATTCCAACTGGCAATCCGAAGAATATAATACCAAACTAAAATTTTGAAAGACATTCGCATATTTTAACTTGAAAAACATTCCAGAGTTTGATGCACACAAAATTCAAGCCCATTTCACGTGTGCCCACCCTTGACATTCTGAATACATGAAATGAAATTGTTCCCTACTTTCCATGAACACATAAGGTACCATTTGCCAAAATTTTCAAATCAC